GTTTTTTTGAGCAACATCATAAAGTATTTGAAAAGATTGATAAAAAGCATACTTAATTGTTCTGAAATTTTTAGAAATGATAAATTGGATTTCTTTTCAATCACAATAAGAATAATGTTTCTTTTCAATTTACAAAATATTTGAAGCAGTTCTTACAAAGACATTCTTGCTGTGGGAACAGTGTGAGTAGAGACAAACAACCAGGCACTGCAGCAGGCTGCCTCAAGTTGAAATCTCAGCTTAACTTCTTTCCTGGGTCACCTGATTGTTGTTTTTAAGTGTCATTGAGTCGATTCCGACTCATACTGACCCTGTTTAGGTTTCTGAGGAGTCACTGGTGGGTTTGAACCACCGACCTTGCATTTAGCAATCCACTGCTTATCCTTGAGTGCCACACTAAGACTTTTTTGGCAAGTTATTTACCTTTTTGGCATCTCATGTTTCCTCAGCTATAGAATGGAATTGATAATATAAGCACCATGAGCTGTGTGAGAATGAAATGTGTTAATACATGCAAAGTGTTTACAAGAGTTCCTGGGACACAGGAAGCTCTATGTAAGTGTTACTGCTATTATTAATTGCTGAGGTTTTCTGATGAACTTGATTAAGAGGAGATTAATGTTTTCTTAACAGCCCTACTTTCAATAAATTAAGATGGATATTTATCAGCTATCCAGTGCTTACTGTGGACTATGTACTATTGCATGTAATTCCCATGCAATCTTGAGATGCATGTTTTTGCGCCATTTTTGTCTCTGTGTACACTGAGGCTCAGGGTGTTAAGCACAGTGTTCAATGGTACTCCTGTAGGAAGGGCCAGAGAAGAACTGGGATTCACACCAGCTCCATCTGACTCTACGTCCTCAAATCCTTCCACACTACCATGAAGACTCTAAGACAAGCATGAGAAGACAGGGTGTTGGGGCAAGTTAGGAAGTCTGTGGTCTGTTCCTAACCAGTTCCATCATTGTGAATCCATATGGCTGACATTAATTACAAAGAATTCCAAATACCAAGTAGTATAGTGACCAAGACCCAGCCAGACTTGAAGAGTAAGTGGCAGTTGGAATTAAGTGGCAGTTGGAATTATGTGATGCTTCAACCTCAAAAACACCTCATGGAATCTAGAGATTATAGAATAGGAGGACATCTTGAAAACTAAATATTGCATCCCCTTTATAGTTAAGCTGATGACAAAGAGGTTTAGCTGTTCTAGTGACTTGCCCAACGTCACACAGTAAGTGACTGAGTGGAGTTTGGAGCCCAGGCCTTTGCCTGTTGTTTCAGGTTCTCCCCACTGTCCATGACACTTCCAATGGTGCTGATTTCCAGCTGCCCACTGAAGAGCATTCATCCAAGTAGTAGGAAGGAAGCAAAAAAAAAAAAATCACAGGACAAAACAAATTCAGGGGGAAATGATCAGAATAAGATTATTGAAAACAAGGGAACATATTAAACAAGACTTGAAACCACCACTTCTTATATCAAGAGTCACTACCTAAAGTCTTTATGACTATGCAGAAATGAATAAATTCATCATTATTGAAGCTCTTCTTTGGAGAATATTTGTAAAATTGACATAGGATGTGTAGAATGTGGCATGATAATGATATTTGGTCTAATAATGACTTTTAGAAGCATCTTCTTTAGTAAATGTCAGTGGTTTCTCTTTATCAATAATATGAGAATTAAAACTATATCTTTATCTGGAGTCCTGGTGTGGCGCTGGACTGCAATGTTGGTTTAAACTACAAGGTCGGTGGTTCAAGCTCACCAGCCACTCTTTGGAAATTCTGTACAGGGTCGCTATGGGTCAGAACTGACTTGACGGCACTTAACAACATCAACAATATACCTTTATCTACATCTATACCTGTGTACTTAAAATACAGTGTTGGTGAAAAATATTAAAAAATATCATGGGCTGCCAGAAGAGCAAACTAATCTGTGCTGGAAGAAGTACAGCCAGAATGCTCCTTAGAGGTGAGAATGGTGAGACTTTGTCTCTGGTACTTTGGACATGTTATCAGGAGAAGGATGGTATGCTTGGTAAAATGGAGGGTCAACTAAAAAGAGGAAGATCCTCATGCAGGTGGATTGACACAGTGGCAGCAATAATGGACTCATACATAACAATCATTGTGAGAATGGCACAAGATCGGGTACTCTTTCATTCTGTTGTGCATAGGGTTGCTGTGAGTAGGAACCATAGCGACAGCACCTAACAACAATACCTGTGGGTCACAGTTAAACTGGAAATGTTACAGTGAGCAAGGATGTCCATTCCAAATCTAATTTCTTCAGTTTAATTAGTATCCAGCCTGTTAGCACAAAGTTAAGAATGAACATTCTCACAGCCCACTGTTATCTAACTCCTGGGCTCCTGACACCAACCGCTCCATTAATGCCAGGAAGGGTGAGCACAGCTGGGGTAAGACATCAAACTGGCTGGCTTCCAGAGTGCCCATGAAGCCTCAGATCTGAAGAGGTTTACACTGTGAGAATTCTGCTCTCTGGTCTTTGATCCTGTTTGGGACACAGACTAAAGGATGGACACTTGTCTACATACAGCAATGCAGATGTGTATGTGGGGCATTTATCCACTCCTTTGAAGTGTCCAGCCCAAGCTAAACTAGAACCTGCAAGATTTTCTTCTTTTTTAAAGACTCAAGTTTATCCAAGAATTTGGCATCTTCTCTCCCATACCTTCTTCCCAATCTCCTCCCCTCCCTCTCTCGTTCCTTTCTTTGTTTCTTTATTGTCCTCTCTCAATTATTTATAGATTGAGGGCCTGCTCTGCACAAGGCACTCTGCTTAGTCCTGCAGGAGATAAAAAGGTGACTCAGAGGCATGCTACATGTTTTATTCTGATAACCTGGTACCTGTTCTGATTTTAATTTTGCTTTCAGGTATTGCCCTGCTAGTTCTCAGTGAACCCCAAAGCCACTCCCCCAACCTCACCACTCTCCCTCCACCCTGTAGGATTGGCAGTATTTTTACCTTAGTTCTCAATCACCTTCCCAACACTTCCTCCTCCTCAGCCAGTGCCGGAACTGAAGCGGCTGGTTCCTGACTCTTCTGGTTGTATGACTACCACAGTACTGTCTTCCCTCTCAGGAGGCTTTATTTTCCCCTTTCCTTAGCTGTGCCTTCTGATTCCTCCCACTTCTTCCTTTTTCGCTTTTACTCCTTTCCTGATTCACACTGATCATCTCTGATGAGCAGTTCTGTTGTGAAAAAATACAAGTCATAATGATTTGCTTCATCTCTGTCCACTGTTGTTCATTCCAGGGTAAGCTATGCTTCAAGAGCCCTTGACTTGGAGCTGAAACTTTGAGGGCACAAAGAAAGCATCGTAAGTGCTTCCCCTTTCTATATCTTTATCTCATTCTGGTTATATCCCAACCATTGAGGATCGTTGCTGTTATTGTTAAGTGCTCTTGAGTCGGTTCTAACCCATAGCAAGCCTGTATAAGGTGAGCTTGAACCACCCACCTTGTGGTTCAAACTGACTTTGCAGTCCAGCGCATTAACCCACAGCACCACACTGGGTCTCCAACCATTGAGGACAGTGCTTTATTTATTTATTTTTTTTAATTAATTGGGAGTGGGAAGAGTGCAAATATTAAAATATGAGATTCCACAGTGTGATTTAAACCTTATCTGCTGGTTATAAAATGTCTGGAATAGAATTCTAAACAGGCACCTGCTCAGTTTGGTACATCTTAATTGGTTGGGAAGAAGTGGTCAGACCAGCCCTTTTCTTTTTCTTTTTTCTTTTTTTTATCGTATAGACACAGCTGGAGTTCATGGTCTTCCTACATCTGCCTCCCTTCTCTTTTGCTAATCAAATCCAACCCATTCTTCATGGCTCAACCCAAGTCCCATCTCCCTATTAGGTCTGCCTGCCCTGTGAGTACATTAGGGCCCACCCTCTGTGTAACCCACCTTTGTACCCTAGTACCAAGCACAGAGTCAGGTTAACTACGTATATGGAATGAATCAAAATAAAGAATTTTTTCCAGTTTCCTGAAATTCCTCCTCTGTTTAATGCTAGTGCACTTAGTATATTTACCAACTATTTGGATACATTCCAGTATTGTTAACTAGCCGCTTTAAGATTGAACGCTTTGTCCTTCCCACCTGGATTGTCAGTTCTTTGAGGAGAAGGACAATCCTTCCCTTTTCTCCTTATTTATCTCTACTACAGATATTGCTCACAAATATTGGTGATTAAATGCTGTTTCGTTTGGCTTGATAGGAGTGTCTAATGGGAAATACTTTGAGAAAATGGATTTTGCACAAGCTATGATTTAATTGTATAGATTCTTGGTATGGCACTGTAGGATAAACACTGGGCTGCAAATCACAAAGTCGGTGGTTCAAACCCACCAGCTGCTCCTCAGAAACCCTGTACAGGGTCACTATGAGTTGGAATCTAGTCAATGGCACTTAACAACAAATCTATGAGAGTGCCTTCGCCTCCATGCATTTCAAACATAGGTGTAACATTTTTATCAGCAGTTGGAGCTTAATCTGATTCAACCACAGTTACTATACCTACCTGTGCAGAACCAGGGAAGGTTCCCTCCCTAGTGTGGGTTCAGAGTGGCCAGGGATGTCTAGCTCTTTCACCTGGCGGTAGTGCTTGCCCTCACCAGTCAGCTGCAGATGGACAGTGGTCAGTGTGTGCAGGTCCAGCCACCTGTCTAGACCTCTCTGAGATCTGATGTGAACCTGCTTCCCACCTGGTGCTGCCGCATTCTGAGCAGTGTGACTTTCTGCACATTCCCCCACCCCATTCCTGTCCACACTCTGGCAGACTGAATAAATTTGCAGCAAGTTGCAGACTAGACTCTAAAAAGTCCACTGTGGCTTTTCAGGAAACTTCAAACTTATCTCCTTAAGAAATAATGAGCAATGGGAAATGAACGCAGACAAGGTTAATAATAGGAATTTCAACCTGTATTTTACCAAGCCAGTCAAAGAATTCATGTGCTAATTCACTGGCATGCTCCGTGGTAGACATACTCCCACTCTACCTCCCCCTTTCCTCCGTTCCAACTGCTGTGTTGCGGGATTTGGTCCGAGTCTGGGCAGAGCCCCCTCTTTATTGAACAGCTCTTCAGATTCTGTTACAGCAAGCAAGTCTGGTGAAAGGGGTCCTTGCCTTCCCAACGCACACAAAGACAAGGAGCTCCTTAAAGGGACCCGCGAGCGCCTCTGTGCTACTGCAAAACCATATCAGTGCGGGCTCCACCACCCATCGCCCCATCGCCGGGTTAGAATGAGTAAGAAGGGGTCCTGAGGAGCCCCCACATCCTCTCGGAGTGGGGCAGGGAGGGAACTGATAGCCCGAGTGGATGGAGACCATCAGTCCCCGGGGATCATCGGTTTGTGATTAGCTGCTTTGAGGGATGCTCTGCGCCCGTTCAGCCTTCAGCCTGTGGTCCAGAGGGTGCTCAGGCACATCTTGCGGTATGCCTGCGTGGATTTGAGCCATCGCCCAGAGGCGAGTCCGCATTCAGACAGGGCGGACAGGTTCGGCAGGACTGCATGCAGTCATCATGAATGCTCAGCTCTAGACTTCAGCAAAAGCTTCCCGGCTACATGGATCAGTCTGTGTAATCGGCAGAGATTACTGCCCAGGAAGATTTGCCAGCCTGATCCAAACCCCGGCTGCTGTGCCAACTTCAGGGCTGACTGTTTACTTCTCTGGGTCCCCGGGAACTCTGTCCTGCCACTTTGCGGGCTCTGAAGTCAGCCGCGAGGACTCCGCTGACGGCATCCACAGCAAAGAGGAGCAAGGAGGGGTTAAAATACGAGCAGAAACCCCCCAACTGCTCAACCTCTCGTGACTGCCTGTGTGCTGGGGTTCTGAGAGGGACCGTGCGCTGCCCAGGGAAGCAATGCAAGTCTCTATAGCCTGCACAGAGCACAATTTGAAGAGTCGGAATGGTGAGGACCGACTTCTGAGCAAGCAGAGCTCCACCGCCCCCAATGTGGTGAACGCAGCTCGGGCCAAATTCCGCACGGTCGCTATCATCGCGCGCAGCCTGGGGACCTTCACCCCTCAGCACCACATTTCTCTCAAAGAGTCCACGGCAAAGCAGACTGGCATGAAATATAGGTATGAACCTCAGATTTCCTCTTTCCGATTCCCATGTCCTAGATAGGGACCTTGGACACACTTCTTCACTTATGAAAGTGACTTATTTATTGGTGGGTTGCTTAATTTAGAATTCTCAAGTGTTTCTAAAATAGCTCCTTAAGAAGGTGGAAAACCCCAAGGCTCTGTTGTGTATGTGTATTCAAGATTTTTAAAAAGTGTGGCCCATTTTGTATATTCTAAAGTGTCAGGAACACCTTAGGAACTGTGCCCACAACTGCCAGAAGCTGGTATTTAGATCAGGATAGTTTTTCAATAGCAAATGTCCAGACTGTAGTTTCTGTGATTATACTATCAAAAAGAGTTTCAGATTTGTATTGCACTCTTATTTATCATTTGAAAGCCCGAAATAATGAATACTATTCAAAGCCTTTAAGCAAGTGTGGTTGCAAGAAGAAATACCTATGATGGTAAATTGGATGGAACATTGTCATATTTTAAATATAAATTACTGCTTGAAATAAGATGTAGATCTTATTATGAAATATGGAGCAAAAGTCAATTGTTGTAATGCTACTAGTTGCCTCATAAATTATAAAACTCTTTCTACTATGTTGTTTTCCATAGTTAAAAACATTCCTGTCACTAGCTAATGCTCTCTTTAGTAGGGGATCACTTAAATTTGATAAGGAGAAAATGTCAATATTCAATTTGTGGCTCCTTGCCTCTTCATTGTATCTCCCTGGTATCAAATCTTCCTTACTCTGTTTCTTTAAAACTTCTGTGCTTCTTCTTTCTAAAAGTGTTAAAGGATGTAGAAGGGAAAAGCTAACGATACATCTTCCAAAGGCTTTGGTTGCCCTCTTTGCAACTATGGTTTTGTCATTTATTAACATTTAACTACCTGTTGTCTTTGTTAAGGATCAAGTTTTAGGATAGCAGAAACTTAATGCAATTAAAATTATGTACACCTCAGAGTTTGTATTGACCATGTGGGGTTTCTGAAGAAAGCATTTGAATCTCTTTTTATTAAAGTTGCCCTTGAAAAAAAAGTTTCTTTGCAGACTCATGGGGAGAATCCCTATTACAAAACAGTTCAGCACTATTGTTTTGTTGTATCTTTGAGCCAATAAGAAAGAAAGCCCTTGATTGGGGAAAAACAGAACAAACATACAGCTCTAAATGTAATACAAATTCAAACAGCCTGCCTCCAGTCAACGCACTGGAGATCAACAGTGTGTGTACTTCTGTTTTTCTTGCTGGTCCTGTGGATGGAGATTGGGGCCACATAGTAACAGCTCTCTAAATGAGACTGCAGTCTTGAAGTGCATTGGCATTTTTCTACTGCTGGTGCTGTGGCACACACCCAGCTCCTGCCCTGTGGGCACTGCATTGCTCTCTGCAGGCTATGGAGGAGAGCTGCTGCCTGAACAGAGCCCCCAGGAAAGAGATACTGCAGGTTTGAGGCAGACCACAAAGGTGGTTGGAATTGTGGCCTACAGCATTTTTAGCAACACATTGATATTTGTCTCTGGAAACTAGGAATAAAAAGGATCCCTCATTTTGGGGGCTAGAATTTCATAGTTTCTTGTGGTTCATTGTGTTGTAAGAGTTTGGTCTTAGGAGGGCTTTCAGAAGTCAGATTTCCTTTGACTAAGAGCTCAATTCAGATGGGAACTGATTCTATATATTAAAAAAATTTTTTTTTTTTACAGTTTGGATCACTAGAAAGATTCACTTAGGCATCATTCATTACTGGCAAATAAGAACAGCTCTTTTCTGACAAAAGTTTACCATCTGGGGTCTTATATATACTTTGAGTTATTTGGTGTTTGTGGTAATGTAACAAGATTCCTCTTTCCTAGTATCCCTCTTGTTTAGCCGTACTCCCTCTCTGAAAGGCAGGCGAGTTTGTGTGCAACCCGCCTCCCCGCCCCGCTCTCTTTAAAATGATACTCAGAGTCATCTTAATGAAAGAGATGATGAGAGTGTGCCAAATGCACACTAAAACAGTTTTAAGTTGGAGAGAGAGAAACTATACACTTCACAAAATTATAGAAATATTTTTATTACCCAAATTATTCTTTTCTTTGGCATTGATGTCACTAAAATAAAATGTGACTATATGAACTATTTATTAATGACAGGAAATACCAAAAATTAAAAAAAAATTAATACCACTGGATGGGGGAAATAATTGGTGTGAACAAAACATCTAGAAAATGTCTAGTGAAATTACAATGCAAAGTTAGGAGTTAATGAGGACTATAATAACTTTCCTACCCTGGAAAATAGTTTCCATAGAAAATCTGAACTCCTAGAAGATTTGACTACCTGAAATTATATGTAATGTCTTTTTGTGTGTTTTTCTGAGGAGAGGGTTCATAGCTATTATCAGAATCCCCAAAGTGTCTACCACTTAAAAATTGTCAAAAACCAGTAATATAGATTGAAGAAACATTCATATAGTCAACAAATATCAGTTACTCCGAAATCCTACTAGAACTGGGTTCACAAGATCCAGAAGCCAAACAAGATTTGGAATTTACATTCAAGTTGAGGAAACAGACCATAAACAAGAAAACAAATAAACAATAAAATTATCTACTATGAAACAGTCTTATAAAGGTTATGATTTGGGGATTAATAGTCATGCCTGGGTCAACTTAGTTTATCCATTTTGAGGCTACCATTTTTGCTTCAGCTTTAGTTCCAGGTTTAAAGTAACATCCTGGGGTTTGAGTACCCACTTTGCTATCCCAAGGACTTCTTTCAGGTTCCAACTCTGTTGTAGAGTTCTTAGGTTACCTAAGAGCTGGGTGTTGTTGTTAAGTGCCATCAACTCGGTTCTGACTAGACCCACTTAAAACCCATGTAATGTAGTACAATGTCTTTTACTCATATAATACCTTATGATATTTAAAACCCACCTAAAATCATAATTCAAGATGAATTTGGGGGTCTTAGAATGAATTAATATACAATTGTGCAAAACATTTAAATTCCAAAAGAGTAAAATGTTAAAAGTTGTCCTTTATATTGTGCAAGACACTCGCAAAAAACTATTGTTTCAAGGTCAACATTTTAAAACAAACAACAGAACACTAGAGTAATACTGTTCATCAGGGCCAAAGAACAAGATTCCATCACTTGTTTATCCTGGGGACTACACTGTATTATAGAGTCCTGGTATGGTGCTATAGTATAAGCATTGGACTGCAAGGTCTATTTGAACTGTAGGTTGATGGTTCAAACTCACCAGCTGTTACTTGGAGACCCTATGCAGGATCTCTATGAGTTGGGCACTTAACAACAACAACAACAAAATACTGCATGTGGAATCCTGGTGTAGCTCTGTAGGATAAGCACTAGACTGCTAACCACAAGGTTGGTTGTTTAAACACACCATAGTAAACCCTATAGAGGGTCACTGACTCTGAACTGACTTGAAGTCACTTAATATATTGTATGTAAATGACAAAGCACTACTTTGTTTCTTAGGGTTTTTACTTGTTAGAGCAAAAGTGCTTCTTTTTTTTCATTTTTCTCGGGTTTCTAATCTCAGAGTTGATGACATCATATTAGAATTTGACATAGCCTGCAGCCTACATTGCATGCATTATGAATGTAAGTACATACATGAACCTTTCATCCTAAGAAATTCATATTGCTTAGAAGAGTAGACCAGCCAGTTTTGTTAGTTTATCTTAGTTTAGCTTTTTAAAATGACCTGGGTCCTAGTGTTTACATAGCCTCAGAGCTCTTGGCATTCAGAATTTAGTACACTTAAACCGAAAAAACGACCCATCCCATTTTGAAATGGTCCCTGTAGTTCTAGAGCAATGGAATATTGATGGATCCCATTACATTGAGAACAATTTTATCTTAAAAATATACATTCATGCCAATATAAATCTTGTTATGCTTTGAAATTCTTAAGAGGATCTTTTATAAGAAGCATTGTTGTCTGAACAATGATCCTTAAATCCCTTTTTGAAAAGTTTTTTTGTCTTCCTTTTTTAGGTTAGCCACACTTTGCTATTTTTGTCATCATTATATTTTAACTTTTTTTGAAAGAATTATAGAGTCACAGAAATTTTTTTAAATAAATGTTCATAGAGTTTCTGTGTGCCCCCAATCCAGTTTTATTCATCTTGCATAACTATAGCACAACATCAAAACCAGCAAATAACACTTTTTCAAATGTTACTAGTTACACTTGTATCCATTTGGGGGTGTGTGCTTATGAACTGTTATCACACATAAAGGTTTTTGTATACACAAGCAGATACAGAGCTGTTTCCACCCCACCAGGCTCTCTCATGCTACCACTTTATAGCCATATCTACTCTTTTCTCCAGTCCCAGAATCTTGGCAACAACTAATTTGTTTTCCATCTCTATAGTTTTGCTATTTTGAAAATATTGTATTAATGGAATCATTATAAACTCAGCATAATCCTCAAGAGATCCATTCATTCAAATTGTTGTGTTTATCAATAGTTTATTTATTTTTATTGCCAAGTAGTATTCTATGGTATGGGTATTCTTTTTGTTGTTGTTAAGTGCCATGGAGCCAGTTCCAACTCAGAGCAACCTTGTATAGGATTTCTGAGGAGTGACTAGTGTGTTTGAACTGCCAACCTTGTGGTTATCCTAAAGTGCCATACCAGGAGTTCATGGTATGGATATTCATAAGCTGGAGGCCTCTAAAAATATTTAAAATAATGATGACAACGATCCAAGTGTCTTTCAGTGGATGAATGGTCAAACATGGGTAGGTTTTTGTTAAGTGCCATTGAGTCTGTTCCGACTCAAAGCAACCCGTGTAAGGTTTCCAAGGAGCAGCTGGTGGATTTGAAGTGCCGACCTTGTGGTTCACAGTCCAGTGCTGATCCAACAGGCCACACCAGGAGTAGGGTGTTGGTGTGCTGTGGAGTCGATTCTGACTCATAGCGACCCTACACAGGGTTTCCAAGGCTGTAAATCTTTACAGGAGGAGAAAGCCTTATATTTCTCCCA